CTTCGCGCGCTAACGGTGTTACCCATAGCGACATATGGGAGGAGCTAATATAACAGCATATACTATAACATATACATATTAAAATGTAATTGTATGAAGCGCGCCGGGCTGTCCTACGCGCGTAAGACAGCCTGATGCACGCTTATTCGCGGATTTTTGTTACTTAAAATCTCGGTAACTATTGTGAATCTAGCAAAATGGTATAGGACTTTTCACCTCAGTTTTATTCCTTCTACCTGTGTATGAGAGATGTTAAACCAATTCTGGGACACCCTGTATACTCGTTGTCCTACTTATTTAATTTCTCTATATAAACTTAAAATTACGCTAAGAAATATCACATAAAAATAAATTAATATCGAACATAACTAAGTTTCATTAATATTGTGCATGTCCAAACGCGTTTTTTTATGTTACGCGGTAGAAATTGACGCGATAAGAAAAGTCACACACTCAGTATATTTTTCATTAAATTTGACTTAAATTTTTTATTTTTATAACAATATTTATTTCTATATATTTACAACACCTTATATACAACACGTATATATATGGATTTAATTAAATGTAATTGAAGCGTCTGTCTAATGTATCAATAAGTGATTCGTTTACTGTCGTTTGATAATCACTTGTTAATATATTGAGAATTTTTGTATTAAGCTTTTGTATTTACAGTGCAATACGGGGGCGGAACTGTAAATGTTTCGCAAGAAAATAGTAGTAGTAAACAGGACGGCACCAACAACGAGCGCAGCGGCGACACCGCCGAGCGTTACACCGGCAGCAGTGCTATTCCCGCCACCCCTAACAGTACTGCCGTTGACGAGAGAAGCGAACAGATCGGTGAAAATAATAATTATTATACATTTATACATTTATAATTATACATTTATAATATTATACATTTATAATTATTATACATTGTATTATAGACGGAAAACGCGCGTAGATTTAAGAAATTCGGGGTAATAGGGAGAGAGGCGACATTTGAAATTCGCGAAATTCAGCCTGATGCTGAAATAGTAGAATGGGTGGAGAGTGCATTTCGCGAAATTTACAGATACACGACAAATTTATCAGAGCCGAATGATTACGTTGGAGTGTGGTTCGACTTCTCGACTTTGACCAACGGTGCAGCGGGTCTTTCTTTTCGTCCTGCGCGTGACTTGACTTACGAGAATATTTGGTCTCTCGTGAGTTTGGTTGCGCAAAGTAACGGAGAGATAGACATCGCTACGTCGTTTACGATATGCGTATGCACCGTCCACTCTCCGTCGGGCAAAGGAGGCCGTCCTTTGGGCGCGGAAGGAATCGAGAAACGCTCGATTCTTTCAATAACGAATAGCGACAATCTCTGTTTTCCTCGCTCACTCGTTGCCGCTCGGGTATACCTTGAACGAGGTAACATCTGCCCGGGCGAGCTACATGAGCGATGGAATGCAATGAGACGTTCGAACTCCTCCTTACAACGCCAATGGGCACAGGAGTTGGTGGAGAGAGCAGGCGTCACAATTCCGGAGGAGGGCTGTGGTATTAGGGAAATTGAGCGATTTCAACGGTACCTTGCCAGGGAGGGATTAGCTATAATTGTTTACGTCTCGTCTACTTTCGCGAAAGGCGGAAAACCGTTGTACGACGGTGGTGCGTTGCTCGCCTCTTTCGGACGCGAATCCTTGCTACGTTTAAATATTCTTTATTGCGAAGGTTCGCGTCACTATTGCCCGATTTTAAATTTAAGAGCAGCGGCGGGGAGCAAGAGATATTGCATTCCTTGCAACCTGCCTTATCGTCCCGAACGAGGAGTTCATCGATGCTCGCATAAATGTCCGCGTTGTCGCGGTGTGCCGTCGTGCGAAACAGAAGAAGTAGAATTAATTCGATGCAAGCAATGTAAAAGAATGTTTTACGGGCGCGAGTGTTTCAAGCGTCACCGAGCCGAAAAATCGTACGGAGACGGTCGCGTGAGCGTGTGCAGCGCCTTGCAATTTTATGACGATTGCGGACGTTTGTACAGAACAGCGGGTGCGAGGCACGAATGCGGCGTCGTGTTTTGTAACATTTGTAATTCGCGTCAAGATGTAAACCATCTTTGTTATATTCGACCTCTTGCACGCGAGGATTTCACCGGCAAAGGGAAAAACGCGCGCGCATTCGTGTTCTACAATTTCGAGACCCGACAGGATGAGACGCTTGAAGGTACAGCGTCTGTGAAAATTCACGTGCCCACTCTTTGCGTTGCACAGCAGATTTGCGTCGCGTGTGCGGGCGAGGACGACATGACGGTACGTTGCCGGTGGTGCGGTGTGCGCGAATTCGTGTTCCGCGATGATCCGGTGAGGCACTTCGTCGATTTCGTTACGAGAACGACGAAATGTTTCAAGCAGATTATCTGCATTGCACACAACGCCAAGGCGTTCGACGCGCAGTTCATCCTTCGTTACATCACGGAAAAACGTGTCGATTTGGATCCACGAGTAATATTAAACGGGACGAAGTTCGTCGTATTAACGGCCGGGCGTACGAAATTTATTGACAGTTTCAACTATATGCCGATGCGTTTGTCAGCTTTGCCGAAGGCTTTCGGTTTGCGGGGTGGGGTGGAAAAGGGATATTTTCCGCATTTATTTAACACACTCGCGAATCAGTCGTACATCGGTCCGTTACCAGCCGTTGAATATTACTTGCCGGATAGTATGTCTAGCGAAGAACGCGAATGTTTTTTGTCGTAGCACGCGGAACAGATGCGCGAAAACGAACGCGAAAACCTAACGCAGTTTTTGACTTTCAACGCGAGATAGTTCGTTATTGTCGTAACGACGTTGATATCTTGCGGCGAGCGTGCACGGCCTTCCGCAAGATATTTCTCGAGCGCGGAAACGTATGTCCGTTCGAAGAATGCACCTTTGACTATATAAACATGGACTGCTAGTCGGGAGATCTGACCGTAGACGACATTAAACAGCGCACTCTGAGTTTGGGCCAATAACTAATAGGTCGTCACGTGGTCCTTGCCAGTGTCACCAGTATTATATATATATATATATATAAGTCGCGTTGCATCAGCCATTATAACTTATAAATTGTCCCAGGATCATCTAGAAATATTATTC